AGGAACACTGCAGGAGGCCTGCTGGCCCATACTAGGCAGGTCCTTTACAATTCATCCCACTAACAAAACATTTGCCCAACCCAATTTTCAATGCCACCCAAGAAATAAGCTCTGATGTGAAAGTCCCACTCAAATCCAACCCCTCCCACTCATGTACTTATCCAACCTAGATTTGAAACTACCCGAAGTCCCAGCCTCAATAACCCAACTAGGTAGACTGTTCCACTCATCAACTACCCTATTTCCAAACCAATACTTTCCTATGTCCTTTCTAAATCTAAACTTATTTAATTTAAATCCATTACTGCGGGTTCTCTCTTGGAGAGACATCTTCAAGACCTTATTAATATCCCCTTTATTAATACCTATCTTCCACTTATACACTTCGATCAGGTCTCCCCTCATTCTTCGTCTAACAAGTGAATGTAACTTAAGAGTCTTCAATCTTTCTTCATAAGGAAGATTTCTAATGCTATGTATTAATTTAGTCATCCTACGCTGAATGTTTTCTAACGAATTTATGTCCATTTTGTAATACGGAGACCAGAACTGAGCTGCATAATCTAGGTGAGGCCTTACTAATGATGTATAAAGCTGCAGTATGACCTCTGGACTTCTGTTGCTTACACTTCTTGATATAAATCCCAGTAATCTATTTGCCTTATTACGTACGCTTAGGCATTGCTGTCTTGGTTTAAGGTTGCTGCTCACCATAACCCCCAAGTCCTTTTCGCAATCTGTATGGCTAAGTTCTACATCATTTAATTTATAAGTACTAGGGTTATGGGCACTCCCAAGCTTCAGAACCTTGCATTTATCTACATTGAACTGCATCTGCCACTTTTCTGACCAAGAATAGAGTTTGTCTAAATCCTCCTGAAGTTCCATAACATCTACGTTTGAATCAATTATCCTACCTATCTTTGTGTCATCGGCGAATTTGCTCATATCACTAGTAATTCCCTCATCAAGATCATTGATATATATTATAAACAACAACGGGCCCAAGACTGATCCCTGTGGAACGCCACTTGTTACAGATCCCCACTCGGATTTAATCCCATTTATGGACACTCTCTGCTTCCTGTCAGTGAGCCATGACTCGATCCACGAGAGCACTTTTCCCCCAATGCCATGAGCTGCCACTTTCTTTAACAGTCTATGGTGCGGAACTCTATCAAAAGCCTTACTAAAATCTAAGTAAATAATATCAAATTCTTTATTGTGGTCAACAGCCTCAAAAGCTTTACTGAAGAAAGTTAATAAATTAGTTAGACAAGACCGGCCTCTTGTGAATCCATGCTGAGTATCATTAATCAAGCTATGCTTATCGAGATGGCTTCTTATAATCTCAGCTATAATTGACTCTAGTAATTTGCCTACAATTGAGGTCAGGCTTATTGGGCGGTAATTTGACGTAACGACTTGTCCCCTGTTTTAAAAATAGGAGTTACATTAGCCATCTTCCACATATCAGACACTACACCTGTTTGAAGAGATAAATTAAAAATATTAGTTAATGGTTCACAGAGTTCCATTTTGCATTCCTAAAGAACCCTTGAAAAAACCTCATCAGGACCCGGCGACTTATTTTGCTTCAGTCTGTCTATCTGCTTCACAACCATCTCACTAGTGACTGTGATGTTACATAATTTATCTTCTAGCTCACTGTAAAAATTAATTACTGGAATATTGTTAGTGTCTTCCTGTGTAAAAACTGAGAGAAAATAATTATTTAAAATCAAGCACATTTCATTCTCTTTGTCAGTAAGGTGCCCATAGTTATTTTTAAGGGGACCTATCATATCTCTAACTTTTGTTCTATAGACCTGGAAAAAACTTTTTGGGTTAGTTTTAGAATCCCTAGCAAATTTAATTTCATAGTCCCTTTTAGCTTTTCTTATCCCCTTTTTAATGTCCCTCTTAATGTCAATATACTGATTTATAAGATGACCCTCACCTCTTTTGATACGCCTATAAATTCCTTTCTTATGCCCTAGTAGATATTTGAGCCTATTATTCATCCATTTTGGTCATTTCTATTTGATCTAATTTCTTTATATGGGATAAACGCTCTTTGAGCAGCATGTATAGTGTTCAGAAAACTGTCATATTGATAGCTCTCTTCGTTGCCCCAGTCAACAGATGATAAGTGTTCTCTAAGCCCATCGTAATCTGCTAAGCGAAAATCTGGGACTGTTACTGAGTTATCGCTACTATCGTACTTCCATTCAATGCTAAATGTAATTGATTTGTGTCGCTAGCACCCAGTTCCTCTGAAATTTCTAAATTATTAACAGGGATTCATTGTTTGCCATAACTAAGTCAAGCAGGTTATTTCCCCTTGTAGGTTCTGTCACAAACTGCTTCAAAAAACAATCCTGAAATACTTCTAAGAAGTCGTATGATTCTAAATTCCCAGTCAAGAAATTCCAATCAACATGACTAAAGTTAGTCTCCTAGAATTACTACATTATCGTGCCTTGTGGCCTTAACAATTTCCTCCCATAGTAGTTTCCCTTGGTCCCTATCTAAGTTTGGGGGACGGTATATCACTCCTAAAATCAGTTTTTCATGCCCCTCTGAAAATTCTATCCAAACAGACTCTGTATGTGTTACTTCAGACTTAATACCCGTTTTTATGCAACAGTTCAAGCGATCTCGGACATACAATGCCACCCCACCCCCCCTCCCAATACTTCTATCTTCTTGGAACAATTTAAAACCTTGAATATGACATTCCGCAGGCATGTCCCGACTTTTTGAATTAAACCACGTCTCAGTTAAGGCAAATACATCAATGTTACCTACACTAGCAACTAATCTCAACTCGTCCATCTTATTCCTAGCACTACGGCAATTAACATAATAAACATTGAAAGACTCTCCTTTCTCTTTACCCTTCCTGCTCATTTCTATTTTTCTACTAAACCTATTACTGTCCTTATCACCCAAGGTCCCTGGCTTTTCAATATCTATCTCGTTCTTATTATTACTAGTTCCCCTAGAACTCGTAATATTACTACACTGGGACTTCACTGTTTTCCTGCCAAAACCCATACCACTAACTATTCCTAGTTTAAAGTCCTAACTGCTCCCTCCACTGCATTTGCCAGTGCTCCCACCCCACACCTAGATAAGTGAACCCCATCCCTAGCATACATGTCATTTCTGCCATAGAAGAGGTCCCAGTTGTCAATGAATGTTACCGCATTTTCCTTACAGTATTTGTCCAGCCAGCAATTGACACCCTGGCAACACACCCCCCACTCTTCATAGATCTAAACTTACTCCCTGTTCAGTACATCCACACTTACTACTGTGCAATCTACATCTACAGGACCTTAAATTCCAATATTAACCTTGACCTAAAACGCTTTCTTGATAGTTGTGACAGAACCCACAGGTATAACACCAGACACAAACAACTCTATGACATTCCCCGTGTCCGACTAAACCTTTACAAAAATTCAATGTATGTCACAGGCCCTAAAATCTGGAACACCCTACCTGAAAACTCTAGAACTGCAGACACATTCATCACCTTCAAAACTACCATCAGAAAACATCTTATCTCCATGATACACCGTGTCAACTAATTACACGAATACCACCTGGTGGTTCACAATTACACTCACTCACCCATTTGACCATAAACAGAAATATCAATCTCAATCTTAAAATAATGAATCAAATAGTCATAAGTTGGCCTGTGATGCTCCAATACTGAAACTATGTATAGTGCCAAAACAAAAGCATTCACATTGCTAAACTCACAAACTAGTATTTAGTCACTTAGCCATAATACCAACTTACCTCATAATTTTGTAATATTTTAAACTTAAGATTTAATCTAAGTCTGCCCGAAATGCCTAGCCATGCTAGGTGTTCTAGTAGTACACTCTTTAATTATTGTTTTACTACATGTAAACCACACAATATCCAAATTCTGTAAACTCAGCATTGTAATCCTTATAGAGATTAAACTTTGAATTTGAATTTGAATTTGAACTGGGAAGACTGGATAAGGCCGGGGAGGACTTATCTAGTCTTCCCCAGCGCTTTTCAGACTTCCGCAGCCCTCTCCAGTTCTCCCCAGCCCTCTACAGTTCTCCCCAGCCCCTTCCAGTTCTCCCCAGCCCTCTCCAGTTCTCCCCAGCCCTGTCCAGTTCTCCATAGCCCTCTGCAGCCTTCCCCAGCCCTATCCAGTCTTCCCCAGCCTTCCCCAGCCCTATCCAGTCTTCCCCAGCCCTCTCCATGCTTCTCCAGCCCTCTCCATGCTTCCTATACGCATTAACCTAGCAAGAAGATTAATATACAGTGCATTAAGCCACGTAAGTTTTTAATGGAATTCCCTGCACGACTTGTGATCGAATCACATTTTATCTTGAAGGTACATTGAAGGCGCTACTCCGTGTAGGCTATTCGTGAAAGTTAATAAATTTAATATTTACATTTCTTTGCACTCGTTTTTAATAGTACAAATAATATTTTTTATAGACAAATACGAAAACGGAATGTGTAGGATATCGATATAGTATATCTAAACTGGACAAATATTAGAGCATCACTAGACTAATATTCACTATGCCATCTAAACACGTTGAGACATTTTTGTTGGCGGTATTGAGAGCTATTGACATAATATATGTTCATGAGGAAGCAATTATTATTATTATTATTATAATCAAGGGGAAGCGCTAAACCCGGAGGATTATACAGCGCCTGGGGGGGGGGATGTGGAACGCATTCAGGCTTAATTCGGGGAACTGGAGCACAGATCCAATTCCCTAAATCAAGAGCCCCTCACCAACATCAAGGAACCTTCCTTGAGGGGTTGAGGAAGCAATACATTTGTAGAGATCGCAAGACTCATGATAAATATGAGACAACCAGGTTTGATCCAAGGAGGGGAAGAGTAGCACCAATTTCTTAGAATAGTGTTTTATTCTTTTCGTACTTAAACCACTGTCATTTTAATACGTATTGTTACTCTTCAGATATAAATGAGTATAAATAAACAGCTTACCAGTGGTATATTGGAAGAATTGTTAAAGTTAACACAGTGTTTGTGTATGCTCTTGCAAATTGTAACAAACACATTGATGTTTATATATGCTTTTTTAAGTTACAAGAAAATTTGAAAAAAAAAAATAAGGTGTTGTCTCATACTTTTAGGAGGCAAGACGTGAATGTGATAATAGTAAGGAACAGTATAATAATGTGTCAGTATATATATACTAGAGAACTTATGCTAGTTAACCCGTGATAACTATAGCCATAAAGCTTCTAACTACCTCAATAATAAAAGTTCCTCCAGAATATCGTAAATAATTGAAAAATATTTAATGCCAGTTGGTGTAGAGTGTGAAGTTAAGAAACGTAGTTGTAGTTAGTGCCGGAAACTGCTGGGTTGGCCCTTGTAAGCTCTGATGATTACTAGGCCTCAGCCCGGCCCGGCCACCATGGAACTTCTTGATCTCAGGAAGAAGAGAAGCAATACCACAGTCAAGAGTCATAACGCTAAGGTAAGGTTGTCTGCTCACGGTAGCAGTGGTTCACAAAAAATAATATATAAAATTAGAGTATTGTAGTTATGAATGACCTTTTTTTATATCAGATTGTGGGAATTATGTGGGTGTGAGTTAGACTTGTCTAGCATGGGCCAGTAGGCCTACTGCACTATTCATTATGTTCTTATAAGTTTATACCAGGGTAGGGAATATGCTAATTATGACCCCTCTCCTTCCCACACAACTCTTCATACAGAACTTTCAAGTGAGATGGATGCCGGCGAAGGGCTCTTGATCCAAGAAACTGGACTTCTTGAGTCGAGCCTGAATGCCTCTCCAGGCGCTATATGAGCTCTAGAGGTTTAGCGCTTCCCCTTCATTAAAATATCCAGTTCTTTACACATCTCCACAAATCTTTGGCTGTACAAGTAACTGTCAGGTTATGACACTTTGTATATAGTAACCTAATCTAGTCTCACACGACACAGATTTTGATATCGTTCGGAAAGTGGAAATATTGGTCAATATGTTTGTTTTTGGCATCACTATATGAAAAATTTGAATATCCTATAATGCAGTGCAATTTCTTTTCATAACTTTAAGTGTTCGTTTATCTTTGGTTAAGCTTTAAGATAACAATTTTAAGGTTTTAGTTTTACCCATAAAGAATGTGTCCGGCAGATATGAAAACACATATTTATGGATTTTAAAGTAAATTTTTAGGTAATTATCTGAGGTCGAGCTGACCGGGAAAACTGAAAACATTTAATATCCGAATATATGAAAACTAAAAATAACGTCGTGTTAAAACCTTCCACAGTTTTAAATTTAAAACACGAAAAAAATCATATTAATTCTCATGCTATATAAAGTTTTGTAAAGAACGAAATAAAATTTGAGTGTTTTTAAGGCCATATCAAGATGCAAACAGCTGTAGTTGGGTAAGCATTTTCCTGATCCCTAAACTCAGTGCATCAATAGCCCAAGCTCTCACGACTCTATACCAATAGTTATAGTTATCTAAAAAAAATGTCATGGAAAACAAAATAGCGTAAGCTAATATAAAGCTTTTGACTAGTTAAGATCAAACTATTCTGTATTAATGTAAGGAACTTCACTCTATTAATTATACAACAAATAAAACTGTTAATCTGAGGCTGAGCTGTTGTAAGTGACAAGCCATCCTGGCGCCAGCATCCCAGCATCTGCCAACCCAGTGCTGGCTTGGGGGCTCTTCCATGCTTGCAACAATCCTGTACAATAATGTCCAGAATCACATAATTATTTGCTTTCTTGAGTGCTACTTTATTACTGTCCATAAGTTTAGTATGCTAGCGAGGCTTAGTTTAACAGCTGAAGTATGTTGTACATATTGATAGGTATGTGTTTGATGAGATATTTGTAGATGTTGGAATGTGTTTGATGAGATATTTGTAGATGTTGGAATGTGTTTGATGAGATATTTGTAGATGTTGGAATGTGTTTGATGAGATATTTGTAGATGTTGGAATGTGTTTGATGAGATATTTGTAGATGTTGGAATGTGTTTGATGAGATATTTGTAGATGTTGGAATGTGTTTGATGAGATTTTTCTAGATGAGGTTCATTAGAATATGCCCTGAGCAATGGAAATCAATACAACTTTTTTTTTGTTTTCCTGTGTTTTTAAAGCCGCAGCCGACCAATAAAAAATGAAGCACAACCTTCGCTCCTTTGATAGGCTAGACCGCGACATTAGTCTAGCCAAACTTCTTTAAGAGAGCAGGCTGCTCTTAGGAGTGCCTCCATTGTTGCTCGCGCTCTGCAATAATGTCAGAGAACCATTAAATTACATCGTTTAGAGAGCCAGCTGACGCTGAGACCTCTTAAGGCATTACACTTATTAAGATGCAGCGGGGCAGAGTCAATTCCACTTTTTATGCCTCTTTCCTGAACGAGTCACTGGAGCGTCATCGTGGTGCCTGCCGGCCCGCCACTCTCCACACTAGGCTCTCCTAAATACACTTTTCTCATTCCACAACCCATCTTCAAATTACACCGTTCGTTTTCTTACGCATTACACTCCATCAGTTTATGAGCGACCAACCTGGAGTGTGTTCTGAGGGTCAACACCACCTGTGGCCCGGTCTCAGACCAGGCCTCCCGGTGGATGACCTAATCAACAAGGTTGTTGGTGCTGGCCGCACAAAGTCCAAAGTATGACTTGAGAAACTTGTTGAACTCTCTTTTGACGACAGGCAGAACTATGTTGATAATCCACCCAAGTGTATGACGGGAGTAGGCCACTTAAAATTATATATATGTCGTTCCGAATAGGTAAAACTTGCGATTCTGGCTTAAATAGCAACGCTCTTCTTGCCGAATAAGGCAGGCGAAAGAGAAAATTTTAGAAAGAACTTAATTTTAAATGAGTTCTTGGTGAGTGACCAATTATATAAAATCTGAAGAGTAAAAGGATACTATTCCGGGAGTCACCACCCTCACGGCTCGGTTTCGGACCAGGCCTCTTCGCTGATAGACTGTACAACTGAACAGCCAGCCTATTGGTTCTTAGCGCTCACAATCAAACACAGGCACCATATCCTGGCTGATAAGGAACTAACTTCAGGAAATTATCCACTTACATCTTCAAGACAACTAGGGATCTGTTTGCAATTCGCCATATGAGCGAAGGGACATGTGGAAAATCTTGGTTCCTTTACACTAATCAGTGCTCTCGCAGCGCGTTCATCGCATCCCTGTTTTTCCTTTCATTTTCTGAGACTGAGTCCTCATTATATACACACTATTATTACACTCCGATACACATTGGAAGAGAAGACACTTCAGTCACTTAGCTATAAACACGTTCATTATAACGATGTGAGGATGGGTTGTATTCCAATTTGGTCATTTTGTAGCATGTATTGGAGTAATATTTCTTATTACAGTACTGACATTAAAGGCCAAATAGTGTCTAGGAGCTGTTCCTTCCCTCCCTGTGACAAACCAAAGGATGCTTTGGGATTTATCAACATTTATACGTACAAATCAAACATATCCTGATGAGTTAGAAGTACGAACTCGACGATCAACTTACCCATTGTGGTTAGTCACTGGCAGTTTAAGTACACGCCTTCATGAAGCTGCAGAGAGTTCTAAGCTGACTCCAGCTATTCTTAATTCAGTCCTTGGTGGATGTTTTGGTCAGATTAGGCTCGATTTGATTATTATTTTGGTTGAAAATAAATTGCTAAATTCTTTGTAGCCCTGGCTTGACAATTTTGTCAGATTGCACCACCAATCTCGACAATTAAGTAAATTCAGATAAATTATAAAATATACGACTGTTCAGTAAAGATTCAAGGTCGTTTTCGAAGGGAGAACTTTACAGATATTGAGTACAAAGTCACAAGCATGCAAATTATTCCTTAATCCGCACACAAAACACTCAAATCCATTTGTGAATATCTTCATAGCGCTGTGTGGCCCATACAAGCTTTTCTCTTTTTGTTATTATTATTATAATTATTATTACTGGTATTATAATATTTGTGAAACTCTCCAGTTAGAAACTTCTTTCAGTTCTTTGCGATATAACGCCTAGTATTGGACTGTACTTGCCGGAGTCGAGTAACGTCAATCACTACCTTAGAATACAGAGCCTAGTATATGTACTTCAGTGTTACTAGGCTCATGACGTCTAATGAAATCCATCCCTAATCGTTTTTTCCCCTTGCAAGATCCGCTCATTCATTTGGCAATAATGTATAAGATGGATTTATCTATTTATTAGTGTTAATGTAGACTCCGAGACGTGTTGTTGTGGTAAATATGACGTTCTTAGTAAATTACTATGCAATCTGAAGAGCTTGTCTTCCCTGCTCCACAATTTGTTCTAATATGGCTGCAGGTCCTGCTGCCTCCTCATCACTGATTCTCTCTTGTTTTGAGTTCTACGATTTTTATTTGTCTTTTGTAAAAGTCATTCTTGGTATAAAAGTATCTCCTTGTGGAATTATTTTGGTATTTTAAGCCATCCATTTGTTTTGACCTAGCCATGAAAGTGAAAGTATGGTTTAACTAGCGTATTTAACGCTTCACATTAACAAGCCCTCTGTGTTTTTTTTTTTCTAAATAAAGAAATCAGGGATTGTTTTGTATGATTGATCATCTACCTGTATTCTGTTTTACTTTCACCACTAATCTGAAGTGATTTGAAGGTGTATTGTCCGCTCTGGGATGGGACGATACCAAAATTTATCCCCATACCGATACTCACAGGCCAATATAGACACTTTAGCATACCTTTAACACCCCTGTATATATATATATATATATATATATATATATATATATATATATATATATATATATATATATATATATATATATTTATATATTTTTTCCCCCTCTATTTTCTTACCTAACTTTCGCATTTCTTTTTTCAAAAAATATCTTCCAAATTTAGTATCGTCTAATATTTATCTGTGTTTCCTTGCCTGACTGCTGGTGTCTGGTCTCTCTTTGCCCCTTCCTCTTGAGTTTTCATGATTTCCTTTACTGCTTATTTCGTATGATAATTCATCTTTTAACGATTATTTTCGTCTCCAGTCCTTTGTTTAGACCCTGTGACTGTTATTATATTTACGTACATAACTTTTATCAAGCTTTCCTCTATTTCCAGTTTTAGAGCATCAGTATACTCTTGAGAATTTATTTATATTATTAATCATTTTCACGTGTTGAAGGTGTCCAGTGAACCTTAAAATACCTCATTTAGTTCCTCTTGCTTAATCTGTAGTTATATCACTTAGTCCTTAACTTCATCCATAGTGCCGCTATTACCAAAGCTTTGTTAAGTAATTCTACCAACATTATTACAAAGTCAACTTTCTTTGTAAATCTTTTTCCACTAACCATTGTGTATGCAAAAGCTTCAGTCACTGTATTACTGTTTTTCTTATTAATTCAATCTAGTTACTAGGAAACGCTTTACATATACTCTACTACCTGTTTTCATAATTCATTGAGA